GTAAGTGAGAATGTTATATAGAAATCATTTATTAGTAGGAAATATTTGATTGACAAACAAACTTAATATCAAATTTTGATAAAATCTGTTATATGACTACGAATAAATTCATGCGTCTTACTATTCATGGAAAAGTTTTTTTACTGTCAAATATTTCAATATTCACTAGTAAATGATGTAATTGTTAACAGATAGACAAAGAATTTGGTTTTTAGAAAAATAAAAGATACACCAGAATATTTGCTTTTTAATACATAAAAACTACCGAAGAAAACCCGACGTACTAAATAAACTATTAAGGTTCACAATTCCTTTAAGCCTGGCATATACATGTTTCTTAACCAAACAATAATGAATAATGTTTCATATCATAGATGAATCTCATAATATACGATTGTCTACTCGATCTTTCTGATACATAAGAAATACTCGAGATCGCAAAATACTGACTCTAACAAATTTTTTTAATTTTCTTACAATTTTGAATAGTATTTTGATTAATTGTAATATTTTTTTTATAATTTTCTTAGGAAATGAAATGTCTACAAAAAAAATATGCTAAACTCGAAGAAAAATGCAAAGCAGCAGTTCGAAATTATACTCAAATAACAATGTCTGATCCTACTTTTGATTTTCTTCTTATGAAAGCATGTGAACCAATGATTCAATTATTCTGTGCGGTAAGAACAAATAATAACAGAAAATAAAACGATATATATTTTAATTTATTCTATAGAATATTGAAGGTGGACGTGAAGATGGTTTAATACGTTGTTTAGTTCAACATAAACATGAACTAAAAGTGGATTATCAATGTAAAGCTGGTATTGATCATTATCAAGTAGTATGTTATAATAATTCAAAAAAAAAGAAGATAGAGTATATTTTATTTATTATTAGACAAGCATGAAAGATGAAGCATTTTTAAGTCAACAATTTCAAAAAAAATGTCGTCAAGAAGTCGAAGAACATTGTAAAGGAAAAAAAACGAAGTATATGAAAGATTTTTTTTTTCTAAGAATACAAATTTAGTAATCTTGTATTTTTTAGAGCGGCTGTTATCCAATGTCTTGCTGATTTAATGTTAAAAGATGCTTTGAAAGGACAAAATTATGTGGCGGAAGTTTGTCGTAATGAACTTAAATTTGAGCTTCTCCAACGAGTTTGTTTATTATTTTTGCTTGAAAAAAACAAAATCAATGTTTTTTAATTTAGAGTGAAAGTATTGAATTTGATCCATTATTAGCTAAAGCATGTCAAGGAGATATTAGAAGATTTTGTTGGGGTCGTACACCTGGAAATGCTGAAGTAATTTTAATCGAAATTTTTTTAAATTTTCTATATAAATATTTTTTTTCTAGATTCTTGATTGTTTAAAAGATAATCATATCAAAGCTTCACTAATATGTTATGCTAAATTAGAAAAACGTCAAAAACTTGATGTTATTTTACCAGAAAATGATTTTAGTCTTATGTCAAAATGTGCTCCAGTTATTCAAGTGGATTTATTTTGTTTTATTTTACTATAATAAAACTTTTTTGTTGTAGAAATCTTGTTCAAATGAAAAGAAACAAAATATGTTATCGTGTTTGCGACGTAATGCTAATCAAGATCAAATGCCGAAAATATGTCGACGAGTTTTATATCATCGTTTAATAATTTTCAATACTGGTAAGACATGAAAATCAGTAAATTATGTCTAAGAATAAGTCTTATCTGTTCAGTAGAGTTTAAGTAGTTTTATAATAAAGTCTGGTGAATTTAGCAGATTATGTTACTTTCTAATAAATATTTGTTTAATAGGTAGACATTATTGGATTAGAAAAAATTGATCCAATGTATAACTATAACTGTATTTAGTGAAGGAAACGATATCTGATCTGTTGACATTTTCTTCTATTAAATGAAAGATGCAACTATTTCTTATACAGTAGAGCACTGATTAGAAATATAGATTTTGTAAAATAAATTTTAGCAACGGAAAACACACTACTGTTGATTCTGATCTTAATAAAAGTCTTAGAAACAAATCAAATTAAAAGGGAGAAAAGTCAACCTAGGATACTCAGATAACCAAATAGAGAAAAATGAATAAAACAAACTTGCCCATTTGAAATTTATGAACTTCAATTTACCGGCATTAAAAAGTTAACTGTACTTAAACCACTTTGGTTGAAATAAATAATTTTATCAATTATTTACTTAAAGTATAATTTAATTCATTTTTAGATGCTCGTCTCAATAGAGGTTTAATTAAAAATTGTCAACAAGATATCAGTAAATGGTGTAGCTCAGAAGTTGCTGATGATGATGACGATGATAAAGACTCCGATGATGATAATGATGCCAACAATAAAGGTCACAATGGTAATTTATTCAATACTATATAATTTTCATTCGATGAGTCTTTTAGATTACAATCATAGTGAAGTAACTGATCGTGACATGGGTGGTCGAATTATTGGATGTTTACGCGCAAAATATGCAAATACAGCAGCGACATTAGACCTTCAATGTGTGACAGAATTGATTGATGTTATTCAAACATCAAAACTTGATGTTAAAATGGACATTAAACTTTATCAAAGTTGTCGAAAACAACTTGATAATAGATGTACTGGCATGGATAAAGAGGATTGTTTGAAATTAATTTATCAAAAAGGTCAACTTAACGATGATGCTTGTAGAGAACAAGTTAAACGTATTATAAGAGAAGGACAAATGTATATATATGCGGATCAGGCATTAGTAGCTGTGTGTCAAACTGATGTATTGAAATATTGTAATGATATTCCTATAGGTAAACTAATCAACAAGGGTAAACATAATATTAATGAATAAATATCTTTATTTAGGAAGTGGTAAACAATTACAATGTTTATTAAATATGCGTGACTTCATTTCGAATCAATGTCAAAATATGTTAAAACAACGACAAGAATTATGGGAAGAAGTAAGTTTGATTTGTTCACTAAATTTATTATATTAAAAAGTAAATAATTTGAATTTTAGATGTCTGCCAACTCTGGCATTCCATCTATCATATATAAACCATCAAAGCATACGTCGTGGTCAAATAATAATGTAAATCTCTACTTCATTATATTCACAATCTCATCTGTGATGTTTGTCCTTGGTTATCTTTACCGTGCGTATGTTCAGTTTAATCGTATTATAAAATTTAGCTATCCCAAAAACAATGGCATAAATGATCTGGAACAAAATTTGATAATTTTATGAAAACTGACAGTCACTTTTCTTAAACAATTTTGTAGTGGATGATATTTCATTTTCTTTCTTTGTATTTAAATACATTTTCTTTTTATTATTCGAGTTTTACATCCTTGGAAATATACTAAATTTCTTTAAAAGAAGAAAATAAATAATCTTAAATATCGTCATTAACAAAATGAAATTTTTCTCACAAAATATGGGTGCCTTCTGAGAAAAGCAACAGTGAAGCGATCCTAGTCGATTCTTACGTTGAGACTCTACGGCGAACTTATAAGGATTTTTTAAAATGACTTCTTAGGAAATTCATAAAAAAACATTTACAGAAGATATAAATAAAGACAACAAATCCTTGAAGGAACACCAAAAGTTTTTACACAAATCTATATTTTCAATTCAAAACTAAATTCCGAAAAATAGTTTGAGCAATGGGTACCAGTTTAGAAAAAATGATTCTTTTCGTTAAATTTCAGTTTATATCAATAATGATTACAGTTATAATATTATATTAAAACAAGCAACAATAGTAGTTCTATCAATTTAAGAAAACGAATAATATTCTATTTTTTAGTTTAAATCGATTATTTCATCGCTTCTTCAATGAATATTATTTATTTGCAGTTTGTGAGATAGTTTACAGAAGTAATTAACCATTATATTTATGACGATTAATTGTTGGTAACAAGAAAGATCTTTACCTTTTATTCACATTAATTAATATCAAAATTATTATAATTCATCAAATGCTCTTTTATGATAACAGTCTACAATATTTGAGGATAACATGTTAATTATGCAGTTGATTTCGAAAATATATTTGAAATTCTTGGATTACTTTTAAATTAATCATATCGCTCTTCAGTTTAATATCCCGCAATTCTAAACTCGAGTCTTATAAATTTTTCACCTTAAAAGTGCATATTTAAATTTGTTAAAAGAAAAATATTTGGTGAAGAAAAAAGAGAGTTGATGCATGTTCTTTTTAACCTGATTTTATACAAGAAATCTTTTTTTTTGCGTTCGACACGTATGATTTTGCTCCACGTGAAAACATTGATTTTTTAATCATTTCTTATGTGACTGTCTGACTATATTCCTTGAGGAATAAATAGGTAAAGTTGGAAGAGTGAAAATATTTTTACGAAATAGTGATTTATTTTTAAAGTCTAATAATATTTCTATTAGTTTACTAGTAATTCATAATAGATGTGAACTGATACATCAGAATATCTATTCTGAAATAGTTTTAACATTGTAGATACGAAATTTAAATATTTTATTTGAAGAATTAGAGTTATAAAGAATGCAATTGGCAAGGATAAAATAGAAAAACTAATCAAAATTTCGAAGATACAGATCAGTTTGTTTTTTAGGTACAAGCTAGTATTTTTCTCATTGACATGAATAATATTTTTTAGCTTGAGAAGGTTCGTCCTTGATCAATAAAAAATAATATAAATAAAAATATGAATGATTAGCCATGTTTTTTCTAGATGAAATAGACGATAATTTAAAAAAATTGAATAATCGATTTGTCAAGAAAATACCTCTAATTATTAAGGTATAGATAAAAATTCCATTTATAATTATTGATTTATACTATGTTACGAAATATTCGGCATGAACTATAATACATGAGGATTCTTTTATAAATTTTCAAGATTAAAATATTACGAATCATCAATATTACACAACGTACTTTTCGTTTCATTGTTGTACGTGTTTTTTTTTCTTTATAAACACAATTCAAATAATGACCCTATAATTTTGCCTAATAGTTCCCCTTTCAATATATATTTTTCTTCATAGACCACCTTTGCCCTTTATAGACAATCGTAGTTAGTTGGATGATACGACTATTTTTTCAAGGACAAATTATCGAATGAAGACACATAGAAACGTTCTGTCTCTCTACCTTCATGATTATTGCACAATATCTATATACGATGTTAATTTTGAAGGACAAAATATAAGCTATTTTCTCATATGATTCTTTTTTCTTTTCTTTTCTTCAGCCTGACATTTTTGTTTGCTTTAAAGACACTACACAAAACGACGTTCTGCTTGAGTAAATAAAAAAAAAATCGAAGCAAAGAAAGCATTTTCTATGTGAGTTTAATTCAAAATATAATTGTACTGTGACAAATCTTTTTTTTTCATCTCATATTTTCCTCTTTCTATGAAAAAAAGAAAGAGTAAAACTAAACAATCGTCAATTGTTGCTCTCGTATGTCATGATTACTTATAAGCACATTATATAACACATATGATTGTTCTATTCTTCTTTCCCACGTTCAACATATTATGAAAGAAATATCTGTTATTTATTTTAGATAAATATTCAAATGTTCTTTAGGCAATTAATTATTATTTCTTTGTTTATTATTATTTTCATTCAAAAATTACAATCCATTGAAAAAGATGCGGATGAAGACAAATTTGATGAGCCAAAACAATCACCACGGATTGGAAAAAAACAAAAATTATTAGAACTTTCTGACACTGCAGCAAAAGTACCCGTTAAAGATACGTCTTTGTCATCAAATAAATCATCCGTATCGACCACACTTGCTGATAGTGATGAATGTGAAGCGGATATTAAAAGATACTGTAATAAAGGCCGACCAAAACCTATTAGTAATATAAATGTATTGGATTGTATTAGTGATCTTGATAATGTAAGTTTTCTATGATAAATAAAAAGAAAAAAAATATTTATATTATTTGTTATATATGAATTTAGGCCGTCAATTTGATAAGTAAAGAATGTCAAACTGTAAGTAAAAAATAAATTTTCATTTTGTATTTCTATTGAAATTTTATTTAGGTTATTTATAAATTTAAATATAATATGACACATGATGTACGTTTCGATAATGCTGCCAATTCATTCTGTGCAAAGGATATTAAATTATTGGAAGAATGTCATAAAGAAAAAGAAGATAAAGGAACTGGTCATCTTGTATCATGTTTATATGATCGTTTGCCTAACATAACTGAAACACAATGTCGAAATTTTATCAATCGAGTACAATCCGTTGTTTTTACTGATTGGCGTTTATCAGAAGCTTTTGCTACGGCATGTTTAACTGATATTACGAATCTCAAATGTGGAAGAGTAGACGATGTGAATGACACTGTATGTATCAATAAAAATATGTGTAAAAAAAAGTATTAAACATGTTATTTTTAGTTGCCACATGATCAAGGTGCTGTTATTTCATGTTTATCGAAAAGTTTTAAGACATTATCTCCAACATGTAACAAACATGTGACTCGTTTAACTGAAATGCAATCGGATGATTTTCATCTTGATCGTGCATTGTTCATTGCATGTCGTGATGATCGGCAACGCTTATGTCCACGAGTAGCAAGTGGAAATGGTCGAGTTTATCGTTGTTTATATGAACAAAAATTTAATACTTTAATGTCAAAAGCTGTAAGTAATCAATAAAAATTAGAATTCGCGAGAATTCACCTTTCTTATATATAATAGCTTTATAACTGATTAATTATCATTTCTTGTATACCTATGCTATTTCTAGCGTTATTAGATAATTTTTATATTTATTTTTACTTATCTAGTGCCGTCAAGAAGTTCATCGTCGACAAGGTGTCGTAGTTTCTAATGTTCGTTCGGATGCACCATTACTTCGAGGTGAACTTTCGACATTTTAGACAAAAAAAATTAAATCAATATTTCTTTATTTTATAGTATGTCGTACTGAAATGACTGAACATAAATGTGTTGTTAATTCAGAAGATCCTAATCAACAATTAACACTTATCAATTTACTTTTATGCCTCGAGGATAGAATTAAAAAAGGTAAATATATATAGATATATAGATATTAAAAAGTATTATTCTCTTTTGTATCATATGATTAGGTAATCAGATTAACGATGAATGTCGACGTGAAATGCTGGTTCATCGTCGTATGTTAATGTCTGATTATGCACTTTCACCGGAAATAATTGCTAAATGTGAACCTGAAATGAATCAACATTGTGCTCCATTATATCGAAAGAATGCTACTGGTACAATTGATCAACGTGGTGGTCGAATGATTCATTGTTTATCGAAAGCTGCTCGAAAAGAAAAAAGTTTTAGTCCTGCATGTTTAGGTGCTATTAAATCGTTAATACGTGCAGTTGATCCAGGTAGTGATATTCGAGCTGATCCATTACTTGAAACAACATGTCGACCAGTTATTGATGCTGTATGTCAAAAAATAAAACCTGGTGATTCAAATATCGTTATGTGTTTGTTGAATAATTTAAAACATATACGTATGACAGAAGACTGTGAAGATCGTTTAATGGGAATTACATATTTTATAGCAAGAGATTGGAGGTAATTGATAGAAAAATATTAATTTGATTTAATTTTTATGTAATAGATTAACACCAAAATTAATACGTACATGTCAAGCAAATCTTGTCAGTTTATGTCAACTTCCACCAAATTGGTCAATGACCAATACGACAAGTGACACAACAATAGGAACTTATTTAGGTTGCTTATATCAACAAAAATCAAAAGTAAAATATATTCAAAATTTGATATTGACTATGTTTGTTTTAATTAGCTTGACAAAGAATGTGGTACTGAATTAAAACGACTTATGAGTATGCGATCAAAATCAATTGGTTTAATGCCTGAAATTGAAGATAATTGTATAGAAGATTTAGCCACATGTGCAAATCCTGACGTCAAAGGAGAAGTAAGAGAATTTTAGTTGACTTTGACTAAACATTTTGCATAGTGTCATTCAATAAAAATAAATGATCTTGCTGTATGGGAGTACGATATTTTTCGAATTGTCGGTCGAAGAGGCCTACATATCTGAGTAGAAAATAAGAGGTCGATAAAGATTTTGTTAGGTCAAGACCGCTGCATCTTCATTTCATCGTATTAACTTAGACAGAAATTATTAATTAGAAAAAAAATATTCTAGGAAATGAAATGTTTACAAAAAAAATATGATAAACTTGAACCTGAATGCAAAACAGCTGTTCAAACTTATACAAAAATGGTAATATCCGATCCATCACTTGATTCTCTTCTTATGAAAGCATGTGAACCAATGGTTGATTTATTCTGTTCAGTAAGTTCTACACCAAAAAAAAACCTTACTTATCATTTCTATTTATATATACATAATTTTCTTTTCTAGAGTATTGACGGTGGAAAAGAAAATGATTTATTACGTTGTTTAATTAAACATAAAAATGATAATAAAATGACTATGAATTGTAAAGCTGGAATTGAACATCATCAGATCGTAAGTAAAATAACAAAACTTGAAAAAAAACAATTCATTTATTTTATTTTTTTTAGTTAAGTCTTAAAGATAAAGCATTTTTAAGTGACCAATTTACGAGAAAATGTTCAAAAGAAATAACCGAGCATTGCTCAGAAAAAAAGACAAAGTTTGTTATTTTATATAGATATAAATAATTTAATTTTTAAATTTTAATCTAGAGCATCAATTATTCAATGTGTTGCTGATTTAATACTACGAGATGTAATACAAAAACGAAAGACAATTAATGATGAGTGTCGTGAAGAACTTAAATTTGAATTTCTTCAACGAGTTTGTTAAATTTATTTATTTTTCTTAATTCTATTCTTAATTAACTTTAGGGTGAAAATATTCAACTTGATCCTTTACTAGCTACAGCATGTAAAGCAGATATTGTAAAATTTTGCGCATCTAAAACTGCTGGAAATGCTCAGGTAATAGTTCTTTTTTTCCGCTAAAAATCTAATAGATGAATATATATAGGTTCTTGATTGTCTCAAAGCTAATCATGATAAAGTATCTCGAACATGTTATGCTCGATTAAAAAAACGCGAAAAACTTGATGTTGTTTTACCAACCAATGATTTTAGTTTAACAACTAAATGTTCAGCAGTTATTCAAGTATATAAATTTCATGTTAATATATTCTATTTAATTATATAATTTCTTTAGAAATTTTGTTCAAATGAAAAAAAACAAAATATGTTATTATGTTTACGACGTAATGCTAATCACGAAAGTGTATCACCTATCTGTCGAAATGTTTTATATCATCGTCTAATGGTTTTGAATAGCGGTAAGTTGAATATGATTAAGAAAAATTTCGCACGAGCTTGTTTTCTCGAAATGTATTCGAATAATTATTGTTGTTGTACTGAGACATTATTTAGACGGGTCTTCATATTACTATTCAGTTATTTTTTTGACAGATTATGAAAGGATTGAGTCTTTTGTGTATGTATTCAAATCAAGGTCACAATTATGTTAGATATACAAGTAAATGACAAAGAAAACAACATTTATATTGCTTTTTTTCTGTTGTTATGAAAAATATTAGTGATACTTTGTTTTCAAAACAAAACGACAGAATCCTAGATTAAGATTAATTAGGAGTATATTTGTTAAGCTAATCATCGCTTTTGAAACAATCTCGATATGAATTAGAACTTGAAAATGATTGTATTGATAGAATAATAGTACTTCGATTTTAGATAAGTATAATGATCAGTAGAATATTCTCCTATCAAGATATTAAGCTGTCATATTTTATAGACTGCCAACGGGCAAAATCTCAATTCGAAATACTATCATTTGATTTATTAGTATAAGTATCGTAGATGAAGTTAAGATTTCAGTACAATACCTATAACTTCGAATACACATTCTTTTAAAGATTTTCATATCTCATTCATAGATATAACAATGAAAGCTTATCTGATCAAGAAATAACTGAATATATCTTTCAACAATACATAACGTATTATGTTAACATATATGATATTCATATATATATATGATAGTAATGATCGTAGACATGCAAGGTCTATGATAAGGTATATTCTTTATATTAACAATCGTATGTCCTTCGTTAGATATGACTTTTGTCTTCTCAAGATAAATCATTAAATTCTATTATTTTCTATTAAATTTTCCTTCGTTTATAGAGGTCATAAAAATCATTGTCTAATAAAATAGTGATCTAATATACATTCAAGGTTTATTGAATATATATGAAGACTATAATCTTTTTATGATTGAACAATTTGCATTTCCTATATACAATATAACATCGAGAAAAAAAATCGTTCTTGATTCTATTCAAGGTTAAAAGATACTTTATATCTTGTTTAGAAAACACATCTTTTCCATTAAAGGGTTAATATAAAAAAAAGAAGAACTTTTTAGACTATGATAAAAAAAAACGTTTTCTTTTTTTTTCAAAAACTATAATTTTAATGTGTTATATACTTAATCAAGAAGGCAATAAAAATGGATGAGATAAATAAATGATGATAGGAAAAATACGAAGAAAAATATTATTCTCCAAAGGCAATATTCTCCAATCTAATTAGCAAATGGGGAAAACAAGTCTCTTTATTTTTCATCATATATTATAATGAAATTAAATAATCAAAATAACCCCTCATCATTCGTTCTGTTCATATTTTATGAAATAATAATAAAATCGATTATTTCCTTTTAATTTAGATGCTCGATTTCATAAAGATTTAATCACTAATTGTCATCGAGATGTTACTAAATTTTGTTCAAATGTAATAATTACTGATGATGATCTTGCTGATGAATCAAATGATGATAATGACAAAAATAAAGGTAAAATATATTTTCTTAATAATAATTTATTGAAAATTTTCATTTAAATATATAGAAGAATCAGATGAAGTTCAAGATCGTGATATGGGTGGTCGTGTCATTGAATGTTTACGTTCAAAATATGCTGATACAAAAAATCAATTAGAACCACAATGTGTAACAGAAATAATTGATGTTGTTCAAGCATCAAAACTTGATATTCAACTTGATGTTCAACTTTATCAAAAATGTAAAAAAACTCTTGCAAGTTTTTGTGTCGGTTCGGATCAAGAAGATTGTTTGAAATTATTATTTCAACAAAAGAAACTTACTGATGTAGAATGTAAAAAACAAGTTCTACGAATTATAAAAGAAGGAAGAGCTGATGTACATGTCGATCCTGGTCTATTAGTTACTTGTCAAGCTGATATTCTCAAATATTGTAATGATGTTCCAATAGGTAATAGAATTTTCAGTGAATAAATTCTTTGACAAAATATTTTTACAAATATAGGAAGTGGTAAACAATTACAATGTTTATTAAGTACTAAAAAACCTGTATCGAAATCTTGTAAAGATATGTTATCTAAACGACAAGAATTATGGAGTAGTGTAAGTTAAATTTAATTTACTTTATCGATTAAAAATAAATTTTGAATTTGTTTTAGATTTCTGATGTTGATAATATAGGTGATTTAACAAAACATATTATCAATTCGAAAAATAATGTTTATCTTTATGGTATTATTTTTATAATCATATCCGTCATATTTCTAACTGGATGTGTTAGTCGTCCATGTATTCGTTATCGTCGTGTTAGCAAATATAACACATAATATCGCAATATACAACAATTTTAAGACATTATCTCGTAAAAGAATATTTTTCTATAGTTATTAATTGAAGATCGAAATATATCTCTCGTTGTTTTTCTTCTCTTTTTTTTATTATGATAATATTCGTTTTGTTCTTCTTTTTCTTTTGTTCTGTTATTTTAAGTCTTATTTTTATTAGCATCTTATCCATGTTTGTTTATACTAACAACAACGAATAAATAAATTGTTTTTTAAAGAAATAAAAAAAAAACAAAAAAGAAAGAAAGAAAAAAGTAAAAGAGGAAGACTATATGGTATAATTACAAGAAGAAGAAGAAAAAGGAAGTCGCCTGGCGTTTTTTTTCTTTCTTTCTCGCTCTCTCGCTCGTTTGTTGATTATAATAAACTTTGCATCTCTTTCTGATTATCTTCGATTTCATCGTCATTATCGATATCATCTAATCGATTATCACTGATTGTACTAATTTGTGTAACAGGTACTGATGGACTTGTTTGCCATTCTAAGAATCAATGAAGTTTTTACAATAGAAAATTTTCTTCTCATCCTTACCACCATAATTATCATCTGTTTGCTCATCTTCAGATTCTTCATCATGATCACTTTCACCATATGTTACAACACTACAATCGCATTGATCTTCACCTTCAAAATAGCCACATGAGTCTATTTGAGTATCAGCACAATATAATATCTCATCTTGATTTTGCTGTCCTATAACAATATTGCTAATTTTTAAACATCAAGGTAAAAAAAGAGAAATCAAATTTACCTTCTTCGTCCATAAGCATATATTGATCACTATGACGCCGTCTTGAATGTTGAAAACAATGATGTTGTTCTTGATCAGTTGTTGTAACAGGTATAAGTGTTTGTCGTATACCAACAGGTACATCTTGACTTCGAATGATGTCACATACTAAATAAAACATATATATATAATATTTAAAATCAAAATTAATTAGTTCATCATACCAACTGTATCACAGAGACCAATACGTTCTAATTGTCGATAAACAAGTAAATGACTATTATTTAAAGCAAACCATTGATTATTATGTGCACATATTTGTAATTTTGGTGGACAATCACTTTCCATTAATTTTGTTGATATATCAATCATTAATTTTTCATCGATGACTGAATGTCTTAAATCACCTAAACTTGAACTTGTAAAATTAATATTTGATGGTGCCAATGTTAATGTTCGGGAATGACAAGAATTATTTGTTGATTTCCAAAATGGTTTCCAAGAAGAAAAATAACTTTTCATATTCTGCATATTGATAATATCAATATCAGATGGTTAAAATGAGAGGAACACAAAAAAAAAAGAAATAATGATCTAAAGTAACAAGATGATTATAAGATGATGTTCCGTCGATGAAGGAAATAGTATGACTAGATTGTGTAATAACTATTCAATCTGAATCGCAAATGATATTTTTTTTATTCTCTTACCAACGTCAGTCATCAGTACAAAATTCTTATATTAAATTGAGTGTAAAATTGTCTGTTCGGCAGAAATAGAAGAATTCAATATAGTTCGAAATAGACATCGATGGAATGCAAGTCATAGCTATTAATTATCTTTCTTTATCTTCGATCAATGTTTTCACGTTTACTATTTGTTATACCAGTCCTAATCGTCTCTCTCATTAAGCTTATATAACAATAACATACAAAACTTACCGAAAACAGACCGTCGTCTATCAAAACTTCTAGATATATATATATATATTTGATGATCAAATGACTTCGATTGATAATTTTTGCTTGTCTGCCGAATGATGTGGGTCATACAAATAGAAGAGTCTCTTTCTTTCTCGCTCTCTCTCTCTCTCTCTCTCTGTCTCCCTCCCTCTCGTTCTCATCTAATTGTTGTCGCTAGTACCATCACTACTATTATGATGCGCTAGCAATACAAGAGAGAAAACGTCTATGACGACAATTCACTAGAGAAAAGAAAAGAAAGAGAAAGACGACAAGTTCCAATAGTTGGTTTCTATTTCTCTCTCTATATTTTCTCTCTTTGCTATCTTTCATTCGCTCTCCAGCAATGTTATAAATTGAATATAAATATTTGCAACAAGCAGCCAAAGATATGATCATGATGTCTAAAAAGAAGCGAGAACTAGAAGATGCTCATGTAAAAAAAAAAATTTTTTGTTTGATATGTTCGTGTCCTAGATTATACATTCTTTTTTATTATTATTAATATTATATATTTGATTGATAATATTTATTCTTAATGATGAAAACAAGACGTTAGTGATAGATTATATACACCGAATATTTTTATAGATGAATAAATTAATAATTAGTCATGACAGACTCATGTTTGGTTAGGTTCAGATTGATATTATAACGTAGTGAAGAATAAAAACTTCTTTTTTTTTCTATTGCACCACAGCGTCATTTCCTTTTTTGTAACCAGATGAATTCATCGAACGAATGTGATTAATCAATGCAAATATATTCTGCTCGAGTGAGCGTCATCGTTACGGCCAAGGATTCTTCAGTAATCATGCTGATAGTTTCTGATAGAATGTTGACTTTGGTAGCGTTATATTCTCTATACGAAGATGGATGCACGTGCAATTGGATACATTAATACATCCTATATAAATTTATTCTGGTTATTTCGATGATGGGTCTAGGCTATTGATAAAACCTAACCAAAATCGAACTCTTATTACATATTTATTCTTCAGAAGAAATAAAAAAAAGAAAGAAAACAGACTCCGTCGATATGTCTTCACTAATAGATTTTGCCGATTTTCGTCGTTCGTATTTGATCTATGTCAGAGAGTGCCCTTGCGTATATGTTTCTGATGTCAGATACGCTGAACAAGCTCATAATCAAATTTATTTTCGCTTCGTAAAGCTCATCTGCATTTTTTTATCTCTGTAATTTGTCAAGCATAAAGAAAGAAGAAAAAATAGATATTATTAATTGAACTCATAACGTATGAAGACACTTGACGAACATTGTAGCCTCGATAGAATTTATGTGACTAGATCGTCTGTTTCTTTCTATTTGCCGAAGAAATATGAAAACAATGAAAAACGTAATAGTAATGTTATCAAAGTCACTTGAATCATAAATTGAGATAGACAGGAAATCAACAAGCGTGTCAGATGGTCTTGTCTATATGACTGCTACTGTTGACCGACTGACCATTTTTTTCCTCTTTAACTATAAGAAGATTGATCATGATAATCTAATTTTAACATACTCATTTAGCTTTCTCTCTATGGACAAGCACGTACATAGCAAAATGACATAGAAAAGATACAAGAAAAAAATCCAATGTATGTTCATAACAATAGATGAACTGACATACATAATTATAACTTTTATATATATATGTTCATATATAAGATAAAAGAAAGAAATGTCAAATTGTATAATAAACTACAAAAACGGAAATAGATTTTGATGCTTAAAAAACTTTTTCTATCTTCAATATTGAATTCTTCATTTGTTAATTAGATTTTCCTGACTAAAATAATCAGATAATTAAATATAAATTAATAAAATAAGCTAGTTCATTGATAAGGTATTATATAATTTAATTTTTTATGACATATAGCAAAATCTTTAGAAATGACAATTATATTTTTTGTCATTTAATTTTTTATTTCATAATATAGCTGTAGATATATATATTTCCTGTTATTTTACAGTGAATATGATTTCTATAACTAATCTGAATATTTTCTTTCGAGCAATTTACAATGGTTGAAAAGAGACATCTATTGACTTCACCCGAAAGGAATTTGTAATTCATATTTCGAAGACAACATATGTAGAATTACATTTTAATTTCTACGATAGAACAAACGTATGTTTATCAATTAGTATTTGATTATTTAAAATATAATTATATAGTTGATGTTGAATAAGAAATAAATGTCTAGAAGTACGATAGTCTAGCTACGTTTCCTTCTAATTTTTGTTCAATCATTCTATGTATTTTGTTGTGTTGGGTCTGTCAACGATTTAAAAGTGATGTAGAATTTAGTTTTATCACGATAAGAAATAAAAGCATTAGTTTATTAACTAAATGTACTATGGAAAAAATTAAGAAAGATTATTTAATAGGATTGATTCAACAGTTGTATCTTCTCGAATCAGTAATGATCTCATTAAACTATGACTTTGATAGTTCGTGAGTGATACATCAATAAAATTCCCTTCAGATTCAGTCGAGCATATTCACTTGATGAATGATCAAAACTTGACCGAAGTTCATTAGCCATCGTGATAAAAATATTCAATGAAGTTGTTTTTGTCATCAAAAAAAAAACTATCGACATTCTACTGGCAAATTCTAGGTTATGGAAACAGAAATGCTTGAGCACGATGTCGAAAATAAACGTCGCATAGAATTACTCAATGAACAAGTTGCAATTAACGGACGGAAAGTGCATGATCTGCAAGCTACAATAAAATCCTTAAGAGAGCATTTTCTAGTTCAACAACAAACAGTTCAACACGTTCAAAACAAAGCGGAAGGTACTGAGTCGACATTCAGCAGTTATCAACGAGACGTGAATATACTATGGAAAAATATTACTAGATTATTCGCCATAATGCGTGAAAGTAAAATACTTCCGGTGTCAGATGGTTTTCTCTCTCTATTCAACGAGAAGATTAACAGCCTAGATAAAATGATCACACTTGTAAATGAAAGACTTCAATAAAATGGATTCTAATTATCAGTCTCCTCTCTTAAAAAAACTCGATATCTTCAGTAAAAATAGAATATATATATAAATATATTATTGATTCAGGATACAGAATCAGTTACAGTATTTATTTTATAATAGACAGTATTATTTTTGGATCTCTGAAATAGTATTCTGTGATTATTTCTGGAAATTCCTCTCTATTCCCATTCTAATTGAAATTTATCTTTTGGCGGATTCAAAGAAACAGACATACTACAAATTCAAGTACTTGTATAATTTTGATAGATATTTTCAGTTAATTCAC